TGCATTTTCCCCTCAAAGAATTTGCCATTGAGATCTTTCAACACCTCTGTACTTTTCCAACTGGGTCCTTTCCATCATTGTTTAAGCAAGTAAAGTTTAAGCAAGTAAATTCTTGTGGATTGTTATCTAATATTGGCCTTGTGTGATAGGGTGATATTGTTGATATTCATTTTGCTAATTATTAAACTGTGCTAATATTTCTGCAGAATGCTACAGTTTACACAGATATCATGTCTTATAGTCATGTGTTTTATAGTTTTTCTCCTCTAAATATCACTCTACATTCTTCCTGCTACTCCTCTCTAGTGCCAATTTTGTGTGGCCTCAACAGAGTTGAAGATTTTAATTTTCACTGCAGCTAGTCAAAGGAAGGCTCCATCTACACTGACCATTTAATGCAGTTTAAAGCTAGATTCCATCTGTGACAGTCAGGCAACAAACTACCACAAAAGCATGTGAAAGAAAGCCCTTAGTGTGCATCAGTGCTCTGTAGTTTGTGTAAACAACCCTCAAACGAATTCCAGGATTTCCTCTGTAATCATCTCCACAGTGAAACCACTTTCTTCAACAGTGTACATGGGGCCAACGTCTGCAGAAATAGCCAACACTCTTCTGTGAAGTCAGGGTAGTGGTACTCATTCTCCTCTTCTTAATCAGTATGCTGTCCTCCTACCACCACAATACTCCTTATTTGTTCTGTCTCTAGATTCTGCATCCATTAGTGGCAAGATTGATCAGAGTAGAGGGAAAGTAAGCCTTCTTTATTTACTACCAACTGCAGGGAAATAAAGCCAAACGTCTGATGAAGCCACACTGAAATACAGCTTGCAAGAAAATAGATGCAAAATGCCAACCATTTTACTTGTTGTTTATTTGCCCAGTCATTTCCAACTCTTTGTGACCTCATGGACCAGCCCATGTGAAATCCATCTTGCCCTTGGTCGGCCCCTCTTCCTTTTTACTTCCATTTTACTATAACTATTTTACCATAATTCCATTATCCAATAACAGAACTATAACCCAAGTTATTTTCTCCTTGTAGCATAGTGAATGATCATAATGTTATATACTGGGGGGGGGGGCACTTTCAAGCCATGGATGGTTGAATCTATTGATACAGAATCTTGGAAATAGAGGACTGTCTGTACAAAAGTCTAGCTGAGTATTCTGAGTACTTCATGAAAGTATATTTTCAAAAATTCCTCAGGATGGAGTCATGACAGAGTTGTAAGGCTGCTAAAACTAGGGGTTCATCTGCATTGTAGAAATAACGTAGTTTGGCACCACTTTAATTGCCATGGCTCCATGCAATGTAATTCTGTGAGTTGTAGTTTGGTGTCCTGGGAGTTATAGTTTGGTGAGGCACCAGTACTCTTTGTCATAGAACAGGGGTCCTCAAACTGAGGCCTGAGGGCCAGATACAGCCCTCCAAGGTCATTTACCTGGCCCTCGCTCAGGGTCAACCTAAGCCTGAAATGACTTGAAAACACAACAACAACAACAAGAACAACAACAACAAGAAGAACAACAACAAAAATAACAACAACCCTATTTCATCAGCTAAAAGCAGGCTCACACTTCCCACTGAAATAATAAGTTTATATTTGTTAAAATTGTTCTTCATTTTAATTATTGTATTGTTTTAAGTGTTTTTTTTTTTTTGCAGTACAAATAAGATATGTGCTATGTGCATAGGAATTCATTCTTTTTTCTTCTTCAAGTTTTAATCTGGCCCTCCAACAGTTTGAGGGCTGTGACCTGGCCCTCTATTTAAAAAGTTTGAAGACCCCTGGTCATAGAAGGTTAAATACCTTGTAAAAGTACAATTCCTGTGATTCCATAGCACTAAACCTTGGCAGTAAACATAATGTCAAATAAAATTATCATCATCATCATCCAATATAGATGCACACTAAAAGTGCAAATACACTCATAGACATTCACCATGTTACAATTAACCATTGATCTTTGCTTATTCTTATGCCTCTTAAAGAATGGCTTTAAGGTTTCATATAATATTTTAATATTGCATGAATCTAAGAATGGTATATCACTCTTAGGTGCTATTCCCTATAAAAACATGATATTTTAAAAACATTTACCGTGTCGATTTAATCTTTCTGTTTTCAAATAAGTTCCACATTGAGTGGCTTTATTTCCCAGCAGTTGCTGATTTGGGCTGACTGTATTTTGTGGTATGTGTGTGTGTGTGAGAGAGAGATTTGGTGCATAATGAAATGAGGGTCTGTCTTTGGGAAAGTTATCTTTGTGAAAGTCCTTGTTCATGTTAGCTGGATCACTGTTTTGGTTTGTTTCATTGACACCCCCTTCAAAGAAAGGATCTGCAAAAAAGTGGGTCATTGGGTGCATTGACCCAGCAGCTTGGGAAGCTGGTGCACAGATGTATCGTTCCTGATGAATGCTTGAAATCTGGTATGCATTCCATTGCAGTAGTAAAGCAGTGCGCCATTCAGCTTGCCACACAGTCTGGATTCTTCCACCCGTTACCTAGGTCTTCCACTCATTTGATAAGAGGCTAGGTTTTGCATTAAAATACAGTGGCATACATTTATTGTGCTCTTTTTAGAACTATTAAAGGTTCCAATACTGTAATAATTCTCACTCTCAGCAGCCGGGCACAGTAAGGGGTTGGAAAAAAGGAAAGAAAATCTGAGATTAGATTTTTGTAATTAAAGATTCTCTCCCAAAGTTAATATTGAAGAATGTGACATTTCCAAGATCACAGTATGATAGTTGTACTGAGTTAAAGGCATCATGGTGAGAATGTGGCTTGATTTCTGTTTTGTCTTTAAACACACTCTGTTTTGGGAGGCAGTGTCTGGCAAGCACAGAGTTTGTGCTGTTTCTGTTTAGGAGTCATCTTTACAGCCCTTTACCCCTGCATCCGAAGACATTCTCTACAACCATCTGTGTCTTTGTTCAGTAATTCAATGGCATAAGGAATCTCAGCAACCAACTACTGTTGATTTTCCCCCTGTTTTTTCTGTGAATATTAACTGTTTGCATAAACGTAACTGGCTGAAATACCATTTCTTCTTCAAACAAAATGGACAAAATGCTCCAATATTGGAGAAAGTAATTTGGGCTCCTCTAGATTGCACTTCTCAGCAACCTACATATTTAACCACTCTGGCTAAGACTGATAGAATAGCAACATCTAGAGAGCCACAAGTTATCAACCCCACTTTAGGCCTCGAAAGATCACATAATAGATTTTGGAGATTGAAAGGGACATTGTGGACTGGGCCGGGAGGATATGCACGGGACGGGGCCTTGAGAGAGGGGGGCCTCCTCTCAGTCCGCCATGTCCTCCTGTGGAGTGGAGGATTTTGTTCAAAATAGCAAAGCATTTCTAATCATAAAAAAATTACCATTTGATGAACATGTGGGTGATTGATAGCACCTGGGTAATGACTGTGAATGTCATGATACAATACCTAAGGGGCTGTGGTAATGGCTGAGTAATAACCAGGTAAGGGTTACTGTAAAGGGATTGCATCAGCCAGTGTCCATTACTGATGACTTGTCAGCAGGTGGCTATATAAGGAGGGTGAAAGAATCCATCATGGTTTCTCCTATGTGACTCGGTGTGAGTATCTGCCTATGCTATATGCAACTATTTGATGACTGATTGTTTGCAAGCACAAGGAAAGTGGATCTGCGTATCCTGTTTGTAAATTGGTATATATTACAACTGTGATATTTTGGATGAAAACCTGAATCCATTAGTTTACTAAACACTGTGCAGAGATAAGGTTGGATGCTAGCAGTTGGACTCTGCTGATGGATGGGTTGAAGCACATGTGTTTTCTGTGAAAGGACTCTACTATATTTTTTGCTTGCTTCTGGGACACTTGCTATCCAGCTTGCAGCGATTCGGGGAGGTTGTGATTTGGAAAGTATAAATCACTTCATGTACCAGCAAATCCTGTGCGCTGTGGAAATGGAGCCCCATAAAGTCCCATTAGAAGTGCCCTTACATCATGTCATGGTCTCTGTGGGAAAATTCTATATGTGATGAGTTCCTATGGCACATATCTCAAACTCAAGACCTGCAGGCCAAATCCAGTCCTCCTTGTCATTTTATGTGGCCCTCTAGTTGGTGGACTACATCTCCTGTGTTCCTCATCATTAGACATAACTAGAGCAGCTGGGAGTTGTGATACAGTAATTTCTGGGAGGCTGTAGTTTGTTCTGTTCAGTCAGAATTTAGATACCAGGCTTGTGGATATGATCTCTGACTTTAAATATTCCTTAACATTTCTGTAACCTCATAGTCAAAAAGTGCTGTTGGTTTACAATTCCCATTATTCCCATTCCCATTATACTCTGGGGACCCACAGGTTGAGAACCACTGTTCTGTAACATTTGAGGATCCAAATTTGCTAAAATCTAAATAAAAGTGTCTACCTTTGCGATAATGCTGGTTTTTCAGGGACTCTTGTATCACTGTCAGCAGGATAAGAGACCCATCCCAAATGCTTGAGGCAAGATCAAAGTTCATATATCTCCCAAACATTTCTAAAACATTTCTAAAACTGTGTTGATATAGAGAGATGTCAAACTAGATGCACGATCATTTCAGCACATGCTAAGGGGTGATTTTGTCAGGTTGAAAATCTGGAATAATAAAAACTGAGTATAATGTTGATTGTTTCTTTATTCTTCAAGAAAAAAAACACAATGTGTGTGCTTGAAATAGGCTCTGGTTTAAACACTAGCTACAGTAAATCTGATCCTGGATAATGTGGGCTTCTCCAAATTTAGCTGAAGCAGAGTCAAACTGTAGTCAGAAGTTGTGCCCTTGAGGTGTACAATCAGTTTGAACATTTATTACTTATGAGTTGAATCTTTTCCAGTATATTCAGCCAGGCAATTATTTTGCTTGCAGGGAATGTCTTTGTTGCTATTTATTAAAGATGTTACTGAGGAGAGGGTTTTTTTAAAATAAAGAAATATATCCTTTCTTTTTTTGTCAGCGGACTCCAATTTGCAGATCTGCCAACAGAGAGCACCAACCTGTTGCACTAAGAAGATGGAGGAAAGTTATCAAGCAGCTGTTCGAAGAGAGAGGATGGAGAACATTCAGACTCTAAATTTTGAATTAAAATATATGATTGTTGGTCACATCACGGCTTTTCAAGGTAGGAACATTTACAAAATTGTGAAGAGACCTTTCCATATGTATGTACATTCATAAGACCATGTCTGCTGGATGGGCCTGTTGTCCATTAAAGCCAACACTGTTTCCAATTCCCACAATATATTGTTCCTGTAAATTTCTAATCACATTATGGAAATAACAGACTTGTTGCCCTTTGATCTCAGCCTATGGTATTCAAGAGCCTTCTTTCAAACATAGTGGTTCTAATTAGTTATTATGGGGGCATAGCAGCCAATATACCTGATGGTCACTAACTCCTCAGTTTGCTTCTGATCCAAATCAGTTATTTTTCTTTCCAAAATGGCTTACTTCCTCATGGACTGATTGGAAGCCAACCTACCTAAATTGGGGTCCTGAATCAAAGTAGAGATTCAAATATCAGGCAGTCTGATGTCATGGAAAATAAAGAAATGACTATAACTTTTCTTTTATGCCACAGCTGGATAAAATTTGCAGATTTAATACCACTTTAGGTAGGATTATATCTTCCATGTTTATATTGGTGGAAAAACCCATGCACAAGAGCTGCCTGTCAATTTTAAATGTATCCATACAAGGATATGCTTAGCCCTCCTATGTTCCTTGTGCACTGTGATAATGACTAACCATGCAGAGCTGACACCAGGTAACAAACTTGGAATGTTTCAGAAAAATAGGTGAAGCAATTCATATAGAAAGGATGTTCTAAACATTTGTTTACTTCTTCTTCCCTCTTTCTGTGGCTCATGGACAATTTGTTTAAAACAGAACATTTCACAGATGCCCCCCTTTCCAATCCCACCGTTGAGGTTTCAGAAGAATAGAAGCAAGTGCTAGGAGTTACAAAACCTGAACATCCAATCAAGTCTTTTTAAAATAATGCACTATAATAGGAAGTAACTGTCAAAGATACAATCTATTGCAAAATAAATTAATTGGAGAATCTGTTATAAAACATGTCCAAGAAGTAGAAAGTGCATATATAAGTCAGTGAACTTTTATCCCACATATCTTCCACAGAAAAGATCTCGTTTTTGGAACCAGACTCTCTACCTCTCTAAAGTTTGACATGCAAGCCAAGTTCTGGTTCTCTTAGTTTGATGGGAAATCCTCTGTGGCTCAACAAGTTCAGAAATCAGTCTAAAGGGGCCCAGTTCTACTCAGATTTTAGCTAATACATAGTAAAGACCTTAATATCTGTCACATCTAGGTTGCAGCATCTTAGTCTGAGTGAGTTCGGTGTTCATTATAATATGCAGTAAAACTGGTTTTCTGATGGACCTCATTACATTGAGGCCCTATTCCATTGGGCAGCATGGGGATTTGCCATGCAGGATGGTTAATCCATGGGGSAACCGAGGGAAATCATTGCCCCGCATCCCACATCACTTATTGCATCCCTTACCCCATCACATGGGRGGGGGGGAGRCTCACCACCTGGCTTCTCTCCCCCTCCCCCTTTGTTGTCTACAGAACACAGGAAGCCTCGCRTGTTCTGAGGAAAGCATCCTGCCACACTGTCATGATACTTCCTCCATGGAACCCCATCGGAAGTTGCCTGATGTCATGTCATGAYGTCCAGTGGGCTCTGAGGAGGAAGCATCCTGGCAGCATGCCAGGATGCTGATTTTTCCTCATGTTATGAAGTGGGAAGAGGTATTTTTTGAACTGAATTATKATTTATATTATTGTTATACTTGCCTGTGGTATTAACTGATTTGTTTTCTGAACCTTATGAATACCTCTCAGTTCCATTTGTTATTCTAGCCTGTGGTATGTTTTATGACTGGAATATAACACATTTATCTGCTGATTATTTGCAAGGAATGGATATTTCTGGCAGTTTCAGAAGTGAGTGTGAAGTGAAGAGTATGTAACAATTTTGGTAATGTTCTATTATCTGTTGTTGTTGTTGTTGTTGTTCATTTGTTCAGTCGTTTCTGACTCTTTGTGACCTCATGGACCAGCCCATGCCAGAGCTCCCTGTTTGCTGTCACCACCCCCAGCTCCTTCAAGTTTTTGCTCTGGTTCTGATTTCTTTTTTAAAAAGTAAATCCAATATGGCGGGAGAAAAAAGAAGGTAAGAAATAGTGCCGCATTTTCTCACCATTCTTTCTCTTCCTAAGATGAACAAAAAGGGTTAAAATACAGAAACAACAACAACAACAACAACAACAACTTTATTTTTGTATCCCACCTCCATCTCCCTGAAGGGACTCAGAGTGGCTTACATGGGGACAAGCCCAATCAACATAGTTAAAATATGACACATGAAAATTCATAAAACAAACAACAGCAGAACACAATATAAAAACAACCATCGAGCACATAACCAGTAGCTTGATACAAACAGTTGTGAGGACAGGGCTGATAAAGTGCAAGTGCCAGGTGACAAAAATTAGGGATAGAGGGCAATATGAGGTAGAGCACTATATTTCTGGGCAGGGGACAGTAGTAAAGTACAGGGACTAGATTTTGGGTCATAGCTGGGAGCCAAAATTTTCTGGGGAACCGTCTAATCAAAAGAACAGTGGAACATCCACATTTTAAGATCCTTCTCCATTATGGTCAGAGATTCTTTGAAGAAAGATTTCTGGTAGTTTTAAAAGGGTCTAAAATCTATTTGGAGACCACCAGAAATAAGGGCTTCATCTTATCATCTCCTATCTTATGGAATTTCCTGCCAACTGAGATTCCCATACTATTTCATTTTGGTTCATTGTTGAAGACCTCTCTGTTCAGGCTAATATTTCCCAACTGATACCCTCTGGGAACAATTTTATTGAAATGCTTGGTTTTTTAAAAACTGTAATACACACAGAAAGTTATTTAATTTATTGTACACTATTGTGGAAATTTTGACACATGATGTGCATTATCAATTGTAATAAATGAACAAAATATGATTAAGCATTTTCTTATTCTTATTAGGGATTAGCAAGTGCCTATGTGTGTTTATAATGCCTGACAGATAGCTCCAGTGAGTAATAGAGCATATAAAATAATACCTGTTCTACAATCTTTTTTCCCAGTATTGCGGGACAAAGCTTTTATATATGTATGTATATGCGTGTGCATGCATACTAATAAGTTGTAGAAATGTGTTGCTGTTTTGACCTGTAAAGCAGTGGGGAGGAGAGAGGAAAGAAGGGCAGGGCTGGGAAGGAAGAAGCAATTTGTTTTATTTCACAGTCTTGAAGAGAACAGGCTTGGTATCCCACATGGTTTTTAAAATCTGGCACCGAGTCACATCTGAGCTCTCTGCTGTGCTGAAGGGGAAATATGGAGCCATTGTTGAATGACAGTGAGTTATTCAAGTGATCTTTCAGCATCATTATAGAATAAAGCAAAGGTCAGAATAGATTAACCTGTCAGACCTTGAGGTCAGTCAAGCAGCTTTATTGCTTGACTGAGTGGAATCAGTCATTAGACATTTCAAAGTAGCTTGAATTTACAAGCATTTTTCAGAAATGGCCATCTAAATTATTGTATTGTAAATGGTTATAAACTTCCTTTGTCCACCTGAGGTGAGAACATGCCAGGGTTTCAGCCTTGCCTTCTTAAATCCTCAAAGGCTCATTTGTTCATTCGGTTTGTTGAGCTTTCAAAAGGCTCTCTAATTCCTTTCTTCAGATGACACTGTATCGACATTCTGTTGCTCAAGCGGGGGATCCTTCGTTTTTCTTTTTATCCTCAAGTCATTTTCCCTGCATTGAGTTTGGTTTATTGTTGTGTGGCATCATTATAAAACATTAAAGGCTGCATGCCTCAGACGGATCGTCTGACATAAGCCTCATTCGCTTTTTCATGAGACTTCTGCTGGTGGAACTATTGAAGATTGAGCTGAATATCAAATTAGTTTAAGACCTGAACAATATGCAATACTTTCAGGAACAAATGAGTCACTGATAGACCCCCATCCCACCCCTTTTGTACTTCAATTGAACATTCATTTTAATGAGGATATTGTATTTCAATGCTTTCTACATCCCTTAATTTTATTTAATATTCTCTTTTTTCTGTTTATCTCTCCTATTATTGGGAGAATATCTGAGATTATTTTTTATCTCTACCCTGTTTGATTTCAGAAATTTGGGGTTCAATCAAACCTCTATGAGCAATACAGTCACAGTGTGCACAAGTAATTTATAACAGGAAATATCTTTGAGTGATTGTGTATTCTTGCACAAATGTAGACATTTATCACATTCCAATAGTGTCAATTTCTATTTTGTTAGGGAACACTCTTGCAATGGGTAGGTGTCATACTCTGACTTAAATGATAAAGGGGTTATAAATCTGCTTCAGGTTTTCATCCAGGATTTGACAAAAGGCACTAAAACCCTTTCCTTCTGAATAGGTCCAGCATCTTGAACAGCTCCTGTACTATTCTGAGTAAAATCCACTAACATAGGGCCCTTCAACTACACTTTGCAGAGCTAAACTCAAACTGGCCTTCTTTCAGTCTTACCAAGTAGTAGAAGGTGGCTGGTATAATGTTACAATTGTTTACAATATGTAGAAAGTGAGCATTATTTGCTGTTGTGCTTTTGCTGGCTTCTCTCCCAAAAAGTGAGATGGCACTTGCTTAGTGTAGTTAAGCAACTTGGAAATTAAGGTCAGTTTTCCTTACATGGCAGTTAGGGGGTGGGGGATTCCAGCCCTTAGGTAGCTTATGTGAGGGAAAAGGCCACTGCTCTATGTCTTGAGGCATGATGGACAATGTCATGCCTTGGGTCTGACTCCCATTTCTCTTGGGTCAGACAGTTACAGTCTCCACCAAAGTTGGCTGCTTATAATAGTCTTATTCATCTAAAGCTAGCTGGCCATGCTAGTAAGAAAGAGAGGAAAGCATGTTGCACAATGATCTAAAGACTGCTGGCATACACCCTGATCAGGTGCATGACCAAGTGAAATGGCACCAGGAACCAGTAAAGCTAACCCCACCAGCAAGTGGGACCAATGCTGAAAATAAAGAAGAGAGGAAAGCAAAACCTCTCT